TCCCCCCCCCCCCCCCCCCCCCAGTTTATGGCAAGAAATCTTGAGCAACCTCATCTAGTAGAAAGTGTCTATGAAATACACTTTCTGTTATAAACCTCTGTCCTAGTTGGGACAAATTTTTAGAAAGGTCCTAGTGACGCTTTGTGAAGAATAACTACTTTGTTCACAGACATATAGAGCTTTCTGGCAGCGTGTGGCAGAATCTTCATTTCCTCATCCCTTTTTGCCTAGTATGTAAGTATTACATACAGTCAAGCATGTAAGCATTATCTTAGTTTTCAAAGTTGATTTTAGAAGACACTTTGACTTTCTTTACAGTGTTACCAATAAAGGAGGAGGTATTTTACACACAAAGACAGCAGTCTTGCCGCTGATTCTAGCTTCCTAGTGAAAGCAGAACTGAGTTTTGCATTGGTTGCTTGGAACCTCTTTGGAAATAGCAGAGCCTGTTGTGATAGGAAAAGGGGTAGTGGCTTCAAGCTAAAAGAGGGAAGATTTAGACTAAATGTAAGGAAGACATTTTTCACAATGAGGGTGGTGAAACACTGGCCCAGGTTGCCCAGAGAGGTGGTAGATGTCCCATGCCTGGAAGTATTCAAGGTCTAGTTGGACGGGGCTCTGAGCAACCTGATCTTGTGAAAGATGTCCCTGCTCATTGCATGGGGCTTGGATTAGATGACCTTTAAAAGTCCCTTCCAACCAAAACTATTCTGTGACTCTATGAATTTTCAAAAGCAGCAAGTGAATAAATTGATAACATTATATGTGCTAAACTGTTTCTAAAATGTGTATTAGTTGCATGAATTACTTGAATGCCTTAGACATAAGTAGAAGTATCAAGTCCTCTCTTTCCTGTCCATGCTAGTGTCTTCACCAGAGCTGCCTCCATTAGCATAGAGCAGGCCCAAGAGTGTCCCCATTTTCTCTCTGGTGTATATAGCCACCAGATACAATGATGCCACACGCAATGTGACTTGACAAATGCATTCTTCAGAAACTGCCTTTATTTGCATTCATAAACTCCCCTCCTTGCCCTGCCTCCCTTTATCCCCTGTTTCTGGTAGAGAGCTGAGAGATCCCCCAAATCAATTGAAATTTTTGAAATGGCTCAAAATGCCAACTGAAATGACGCAGGTCCTCAGGTTGCATATAAGAGTTTTTGTTCTTTGAAGGTCATGCTGGATGTTTTTTGCAAACACACAGTTGGCTATGCATAATATCCATTAATTTATAAAACTGATTTCTTTGCATGTTCTTTACTGTCTAGTCTGAAGCATCTGGATCCTTGAATATAATCTTGTTGGGTTTTTTCCCCCTTCCTTTTCTAATCAGGCTGACAATTAATGCTGAATGTTATCTTCAGCTTCATAACTTTCCTATGGATGAACACTCCTGTCCACTGGAGTTTTCAAGCTGTACGTGGTAAAACACTTTTTTTTTTTCTTTACAATCAGGCTTTACATTTCCTTAAATTCTATCAGGAAGAGACCAAGTGTTTACTTCTTAAAGCCTTGCAGTGAAGAAAAGAACTGACCTGTTTATGTTTTGGTTAGATTTATAGCATTTTCTAATGCATTATTTAATGTGGTAATGAATGAGTTGAATTGCATGCATTTCATTTAGTTGCAACTTTAAAAACAATCGTATTGCTTAGGAGACTGATACAATGCCCATTCCAGTTAATGGAAATCTATTGCCCTGGAAGAACTTTATTTTTATGCCTGCCAGACTTGCCAACTTTGAATTAATTCCATGAGGCATACTTGAAAGGAATAGTAAGATCTGTCTTCTTCAACCTGTTCCTGTAAATGTCTAATCAGTACAAGAAGTCCTTCTCCTTTCAGATGGACTTATTTATGTGAGGCAGAAACACAGCTCTCAGGCTTCATTTCTTTAATATAAACTATATTAAAAATAAAAAAGTTCCTAAGGTAATTGTGCTATTACTTGTGAAAGAAACCTAAACCACCTGAACACAGCTAAACAACTTATTCCTGAATGTGAAACCTAATAGGCAATTAAATAAAACTTCAGTGATTCTTTTTAAATTAATGTTTTCATTTAGTGCTTCCTTCTTGAGTGCTTCCAGCTAAATGAGCTTTGGTAGCTCAATTGATTAAATAGTTGTGCCACAGAAGTAAGTCTTGCTTAATTTCATTTCTGCCTTTCTGCAAGATAGTTTGGGGCAATGTCAGGCACATCAAAATCAAGAAGGTTGTTCTTCCTTAAAGCTGAAGTACTGGACAGTGAATCAGGCCACAAAAATCCATTCTAGGAACAACAGACAAAGAAATTTTCAGTAAGCATCCATAGGAATTTTATCAAATTAGGTACTAATGATTGTCTACCCTTTTAAGCTCTTTGTGGTCTTTTAATGATAAAGTTTCTGAAAAACTTGTATTTACATAATTTTTGATTGATCATAAGTTTAGTTAAACTTAAAACTGAGGCTAGATATTTTGGGGTTAAGTTTTAAGTTTGGTTTTCTCTCTGCACTTTATGTATAGCCCTTATATGTTAGTTTATAAACAACTTCAGAGATCAGAAAACATGCTTTGATATATACAGTGGCTGAATGCTTGATTTGCTCTGTTTTATTCTAGATGGATATCCCAGAAATGAAATTGAATACAAATGGAAGAAAACCTCTGTTGAAGTGGCAGATCCAAAATACTGGAGATTGTATCAGTTTGCATTTGTGGGGTTACGAAATACTACTGAAATTTCTCATACCTTGTCTGGTGAGGCAAAGTGTTAAGTTTTATTTCGTGTAATATCTATGTAGAACAAGACTAATAGATGAAGATTCAACTGAAAACCATTCTAAATGTCATGTACGTATTTTTTTTCCTTTTTTTAATTTATAGGTGATTATATTATTATGACAATCTTCTTTGATCTCAGCAGACGTATGGGATATTTCACTATTCAGACATACATTCCTTGTATACTCACAGTTGTTCTTTCATGGGTGTCATTTTGGATCAATAAGGATGCAGTTCCTGCACGGACTTCTCTGGGTAAGAATGTCTTTTTTTCAACATTGAAGGGTCTGGTACTCTCAGGAATGCAAATCTACAGCAGGGAGCAAATTAACCATGACTTATTCCCCTTCAGATTATAACCATTGGTCACCCTTTCTCTTGAACTACAAGACTAAGAGTAGGAGGATCCTGCTGTGGTTGCACAGCAGGGTTTAAGGAGGGAGTGTTGAAAATTGAAATCTGGTCATCCGTAAATCCTGATCCAAGCCTTGTGGATCTGCTGTTTTTCACATAAATACATTTTTTTCTCCTTTATATTCTTTTTGTCATCTCCAGGGACAACAATATGGCAATCATTAGTCTGACAAGTATGATTAAACTTTACTTAGCACCATGGAACAAAGGATGTCATTATTACACAGGCAAAAACCGTGAAGATCTGTTTGTTGGGTTTTTTGTTGGGTTTCTGTTGTTGTTGGTTTTTCTTTTCAATAAAAGAAACTATTCCGTTGTTCTTTTAAGCCCAGGATAGGACAGAAAATTTGCAACCAAAGTGGCACTTCAAGCAGTTAAGCATATAACTTACAAAAACTGACTCACTGAATTGTGTTGCGAGTTCTTCTACAGAGATAATTCTTTGTAGTGTCCTCTTGGCTGACCTGTTTAGCATGGTGTCAGTCTTCTCTGTTGAAGTGTTCAGGATTCATGGATTCATGTGCTACCTTGGAGAAGAGTTGTAGTCCCCACATACATCATAACAGACAGGGGTGTGTGGAGTGCACAGGACTCCAGGACTAGCAACTTTGATCTTAGGAGTGACAGATACTTTTATTAAAACTGTTGACTGCACTATGACCTATATGAGGGAAAAGATCAAGAGCTGAAGGTGTATTTTAGGAAGTGAGAGATAAGAGGTCGTGGAGTCCACTTCTCTGGAGGTTTTCAAGACCCGCCTGGATGCAGTCCTGAGTGATGTGCTCTGGGCAATCCTGTCTTTAGCAGGGGAGTTGGACTAAATGATCTCTAGAGGTCCCGTCCAACTCTGTCAAATCCGTGAATCCGTGAGTTAATTTTCTTCATCAGCATATAGGATTCTGAACACTCTATTCCCACATTATAGGAGAGTTCCCTACCAGAAAGGTGAGTCCAGACTTTAACTCCCTGCAGTTCCCACTGAAACCTCCCACTGTGCAGTCAAGCCTGCAAAATTAATGAGTCAAGAAAGAAAGTAAACAAAAATGAGCATTGCTCAGTAGCCTAATGAAAAGGTAAGGGACGAAAATCCAAGTCTTGGATCTTAACTTTATGCTGTTTAAAAGTTCTGCAAAGTTTAGTAAAGAGAGCCTAAAATCTTGAATAAAAAGGTGAAACTATCTCTCGATAGTTTCAAATAATGATTTAGAAATTTATTCTAAAATTTATTGACTGAATAATCATTGGACATCATTGCGGGTACCACCTAGAAAGACACTAGCTATAACAGGAAAAACTGTTGCATTGGTATCCTACTAGTTCTGTATCCAGTTTGTTCTTTGTAAAAAGTACTTTTTCTATGCTGCAAAGCCAACAATTTTGTCTTTGATCTCATGGTTAAACTAGATTTTTCATGCTCCCACTTCAGCAGCACTAACCTTCATCTACTTGAGATGTACTACAAAGGTTTTCAATGTCATATTTACAGCTCCCTGCAGTTAACTCTGAGCTCCTTTTGTGTGAACATGCTGAAGCCATCGTTTGACAGATTGTAGAATGACTTTTCTCACATGAAGATGTTCTGATGAAGGAGAAAGAGAATACCAGTCAAATAGACACAATTCTTTAGAAAGAGACTGAGAAATTAAAACAAGAAAGCCAAAACGAAACAACGTCCATCATGGCAAGCAGTCACGATGCTGTGGAAGATTTGCTCCCTGTGTGCCTTTTGCATAGTGGAGAGGACTGGGGAAGTCCATGTCTCCTCTTGTCCTCGCTGAACAGAAGTCAGTAGGGGAATGATGGGTGTGACATCCCACCTGGAGGCTGCGCTGGGGTCTGGTAGATGGAAAAGTCTTTGGCCTTTTTCTTCTGTATATATTGCAAGATCCTGGCAGATTGCGGTTTCCCAAATCAAAAGGTTTGAGATGATTAAAGGTCTTTAGGTATTTAACTATGCAGATAAATGCTTAATTGATTTTCAAAAGCATCTAGTGGGAGCGAAGCACTTTTGAAAAACTCTGTGGTTATCTGTTTGCCCTTTTAGGCATGTAATTTCAGTGGGAAATCCATTGCAAAATCACCACTGCTTTCCTGCTGTAGGATCAGTCCACAGCGACCCCTGATTCCATGCTTTGATTCAAAAGCCATAGTCAGTCTTAGACTGGTGTAACACCTTTTTTTTTTTTTTTTTTTTTTTTTTTCCAATAAGCTTGTGCATGTAAATAACAAATTATTTGCATGTTCGAGTTTCTTCTCCGAAGGAAAGGTCACGTCTTAATTTTGGACTACTATGAAAAAGGCTTTGTGTCTCCCTGAAGCATCAAATATAAGAAGTGTTAACACCTTCTAAATGTTAAACCAGTGAAGAGTGGTATAGTTGAGATTTTGAACACATCGCTATTAAGGCCAGCTTGTTCTTTTAATTAACTTGTATGTAAGTGAATCAAGGGAAACATTTTCTATTACTTAAGACACAGTATTGAAAAAATACCTACTAATTTAGAGAATGAGACCAGAAAGGCCATGAAGGTCATCTAGTTTGATCTGCTATGGGTTGGAAGCAAACAATTGAAACCATTATTCCTTTTCTGTGTGTTTTCTGAAAGTTTGAAATAATTGACAAATAACACTTTTTTTTTTTTCTGAATATGTCCTTTTGAACATTTTAATCTTTCAAGAGCCAGAGGACTTTTTTGTGTTTATAAAATTTGTGTACTTATTTATACCTGTTTGTCTATTGTTTTTGCTTTATGAGTGCATTCTATAATACATTTATAAAATTGCACAAACTTTCTCAGTGTTTATTCAGTGTGTGTTGAAAACGGGAGAGATTTAAACTGAAGGTGAAATGTGCTGCCTTCTGTATGATCCCACAGGGGCTGCTGGATCCATAGGGATGGCTTCTTGCAATAGCACTGATGTGTGTGGGTGTGATCAGAGGTGAACCCAGCTGTGACTCAGTTCTTTGAGGATTTTTCTGTGACAATATGATTGGATTACTTATACATTTCCCTCTTTCTTTCTTTCTTAGGCATTACAACAGTGCTGACCATGACAACGTTGAGTACAATTGCTAGGAAGTCACTCCCAAAGGTTTCCTACGTGACAGCAATGGACCTTTTTGTTTCAGTTTGCTTCATTTTTGTGTTTGCTGCCTTGATGGAATATGGCACCTTGCATTATTTTACCAGCAACAGAAAAGGGGACAAAGGAAAAGAAAAGAAGGCAAAATCGAAGCCATCGGTAAGTTTAGCTAAACAACAAGAAAAAAATACCCCAGCATGTTCTTTATTGTAGCATTAATTTTTAGAGACTGGTTCTTAAGCAGAAGGGGTAACGTCCAAGGATAATTAAGACTAATATTCATTTTATTATGTTAACACTGAGGGATATGGTGTAGGGGAGAACTTTGTAGATTAAGGTAGATGGTTGGATCCGATGATCCCAAGGGTCTCTTCCAACCTGAATGATTCTATGATTCTATGTTTTTATAGTTGGGGCTTTTATTCATTTTCTGTAAATACTACTAATGAATGCAGGTTTTAGATCATTCTACTCATACATGAATGAGAACACAAGCCTAAGCTAGAGAATGGTTTGATGTAACATTCCATGCTTCTTTGCCATGCCCAAGCCCTTGTTGCTCCTAGAGCTGCCCATGGAGTGTGTGCTCATGGAGGCAATTCTGCCTGGGCATAGAAATGAAATTATAGAAGCCCAGATGTGGAAATGCAGAAATCCTGTTACAAACCATATCCATTCTGTGACTAGTGCTGGAAAGCACTGGTCACCCATTCTGAGCAGCGTTGCTGTGGGAGACTGTCTTATGGGGGCACTGAGGGGCTGCTATGGCTTAATACCAGGGAACTGGGAGCCCTTATGTTTCATACACTGAGCTGGTCCAAGGGGATCTGCTGTGTGTTTAGGACAAGGCTAGTGGTGAAGGCTTAATAATGCCCTGTGCTACCTTGGTTGGACATCACTCTGAGCCTCAGGGAATCCAGCACAGCCAACAGAACTGGAAACTGGAAACCTCCAACCTCTTTCTGGTTAGTGGTAGAAGCAAATGTTGGTACAATGGAAAGGATGGAAAACGGGCTTTGGCCAGGTCCGTATGAGGGTGAAGGATAACAGATGCTGCAGGATCTGTGGGACTTCTTAGTGTCAGCACAGCAGATCCAATTCTATGTTGTCGCAGCGAGGTCTCGACAACACTTAGGGAGCAGGGAGGTGAAATAGGTCTGCTCTCAGCATGCACAAGTTGAAAAGCAAGAGGGGAGGAAGTACTGCTTCTTCAAACCAGGGAGATATTATAGATCAGCCACAGAAGTGGTTTGCAAGTATACTCTATTGAATGGAGTAAGGAGACTTTTCAGAATCTGTTCACACATCAGCCATTTGTGAAATAATCTGCCAAATGCTTTGAGATTTTCAGTGCATATGACAATTTAAAATGTAGAATACTGGTGAGATAGAAACCATGACACTTATAGAATAAATAGCTGGGACAGATTAATATTAGCAATTTAATACTCAAAACACTGTTCATTTGTGCTTTATTTGTTTTTAAAGCATGCTTTTTATTTCTAAGTAGTTGAAAACCAGCCAACTTTTCACACAGAATTCTTTAAACATGTTTCAGCATGTTATGGCTATAAGACGATACTAGATAAGACATTAATCAAAAAAAACCCAGGGGATTAAATTTAATATACTTAGATGCAAGGATTTTTACTTGATAAAGAGGGTTTTTTGGGGGTGAAGTTTTATAAAAACATGTAAAATTTCTTGTTCCACATAGAAGAATTAAAGAATACATCTAATTAATTAATGGAAAGTCATACAATTACAAATCCTTTCTTTTTTTTTTCTCCCCCATCGCCCTCCTCCCCGCCCCCCTGCCTTTTATCTTTGTAAAGGACTTCTGTTCATTCTTTTTTTTCTTGTAGTTATGAATATGTAACTCAAAATAACAATTTAATTAAAATAGTAAGTTTAATTCCTTCTGAAAGGTTCTCATTTACAGGTGTTTTTTTCCTTGGAAAGCTTGCCTTGCTTAGGTCTTCTATTTCTATTGTAAAATGCAATAAAAGCTTATTCCAGCATCTGATGCCAGTACAGTGATCTTGTGAAAAGATGGGGAGATTTTACAAATGATTACGACAGTTTTATCTTACAAAATATGTGCTGGCATCATTCAAGAAAGGTAGTTTGAATTGGCTTATATAAATCCACATTAGTAAGGATAATGAGTTTGGGCAGGAAAGATTAAACTTAATTAGTTGTGGATCTTGTTCTGATGATCATTTCACCTGAAGTGAATGCATCACCTGTGTTATGATCGTCATAGATGATGGCTTTCTTTTGTACTTTTATTAATGTTAATGCAAAATAATTTGGTTTTGGTCCTCTCATACTGTATCATAAATGCTTGTCACTGTATATGGAATTTTATCTACAATATCAGCAGGCATGTACCTGAACAATCAGCATGTACTACTCTATCTACATGTTTTGGGGTTTCTTTAAGTCTCTGCCAATTGATATGAGGTCATTTTCTTGTGAGGTGTTGGTCTTTTTTTCCCCTTTTCTCTCACATTGTCTCTTTCTTACACACGTTTTATGTATTCCCTGTAGGTAGTTAGGTCTATAAGATGTCACTGTCTTTCTGCCTCCCTCAGGCCACCTTTTCAAACCTGTAATTCAGTAGCCAGCTCTAGTCTGTGCTGGTGACACGGACAGTGAAAAACAGTACTATTATTTCTTCCTCCACCCGTGGTGTTTCTGAGTTGGGGATTCCTGTTTTACCCCACTAATAAAAACAAATCATGCCACAAATCTTACATGGGCAGAACCAGCAGAGAGGAAATTCTGGCAAAGCCAGAATAGGCATGAATCAGAAATAAGCCTTATATATATATCCTCATATGTCCTTTATATATATATATATATATTGCTTATATATCTTCGATAAAATAATGATTTTGTAAGTTCAGAAAAAAATTTGAACTTACCTGTTATGTTTTATAAAACTCAGCCCTGTTTGTAATGTCTCACATTAAGGTAGAAGAATGTAACTGCTGTTTGTTAGTATTGTCAGTATTTTATCATAACTGAAAAGAATAATGAGGTCCTTTAGGATGATAATTAGCTCCCTAGGTCATCATGTCTAAAAAATGTTGAAACAGCAGTCTGTGTGAAGCTTCTTCTGGTAAAGACACTTAGGAAATAAAGCTATTTGAAAATGTGGTGGATACTACATGGCTTTGATATCACCCTTTGGGATGCTGGGTAGAATGTCCCTGAAGCAATAATGCCTCCTTAACCATGTATAGAGATCTCAACTGGACGAAGTAGTTCTCTGGAAGTGGGACAACAGGACTCTAAAACATAACAAGAATGTAAATTATGTGGCTTCCTGCTTTTTGTTTTTTTTTCTGTATCTTTTAATTCCCTATCATTTCTAATTGTTTAAGAGAGATTCTTCTCTACACCTAAACACACAGTTAGTTCTTCTGACTGCATCCTTTCCTGCTGTATTTATTCATTATGTGACAAAATATGGAGATGGTAGAAAAGAGAAAATACAATGTAAGACTAGTGTTGAAGTAACCCCAGTCCTCAGTCTGAAGATTTGAGAAGAGATGGGGGGGCGGGGGTTTGAAAGAAAGAGGATTATGGATTAGTTTAAAAAGACTATGAGATTTAAAAAGAGGGGAAAAAAAAAGGACAGATAGAGAAAGAGAATGTCTTTTGAAATATTCAGGAAAACAAGGAGGAAGAGTGAAGAACTGCATGGAAACAAATTAATAAAAGGGGGAAAGATGGGCTGTGGTAGCGTAAGCAAATGGAAGGTGAAAAGGCAAAAGTCACAAGAAAGAGAATATTAAACAGTATATGTGCAGGGCAATGAGGCACACAGATTTTTTTCTATTTTTTTCTATGAAAATTATTTATGAACCTTAACATCTACTACACTGAGGGTTTTTTTTTTACCAGATTTCAAGAGTGTAAAGCTAGTCCCACAGAAAGTAAAAGCAAGAATTTAGAATTGAATTAGTCAGTTTCACTGCCTTCAGTGGCATTCTCGTAAGGAATCTTATGTCTTGGTTTCTAAAGATGGGGCATGTTCTTTAAGGATTTAACATCAGAGGGTTAGATGACATAGCCTGGCCTTGTGTGTCAGTCTCTCAAACTTCACCAGTGATACTGTACTAACCCCATTAGCTTTTTTTTTTTTTTTTTTTTTTTGTGAAAATGTTGCTTCTAGTCTCATTCTAAAGACTCCAAATGAAGGGAGAGCTATCATTCCCTTGGTAGTGATGTTTATACCCTGCCTGTGGACTTGCTTGATGACCCAGTCATCAAGCTGTGTCTGACTTCAAAATGTTCTTTTGCGTTGTCTAGATGGGATCAGATAACCCTGTCTGTGTAACTAATTATCCACTATTCCCAAATCCCAGCACAACCCAGTTTTCACTGTGGCAGGTGCAAATCATTCATGATCTTTAGCCTGCATGAGCTAATTATATACAGCAGTTCGTAATTCACAAAGCTCCCCAAACTGTTTTCTTTAATATTAGAATTTCTCTATATTGTACTGAAGGTGCTTATATTGGCCTTTGCTATGGAAAGCCTATGGAATTATTTCTTGTGAGGATAAAAAAACAAACGCAAAACTGTATTTTTCTTTTTTGTTTTTCTTAAGAAACCACCTGCAATTGCTGTTCGACCTGGATCAACTCTAATCCCAATTAATAACATTAATCATCTCCCTGAACGCGATGATGATTATGGATATGAGTGCCTAGAAGGGAAAGACTGTGCTAGCTTCTTTTGTTGTTTTGAAGACTGCCGCACAGGATCTTGGAGAGAAGGAAGAATACACATCCGTATTGCAAAAATTGACTCCTATTCTCGAATCTTCTTTCCAACTGCCTTTGCATTGTTCAATCTTGTTTACTGGATAGGATATCTGTATTTATAAATTTCAGAGGTTTGACAAACTCAGAAAAAAATGTTAATTGAACAGTCATTAACACTTTTCAGTGAGCAGTCAAAAGATTAGAGCTGGTCCAAAATGACTCAAATTGTTTGTATGCTTTAAAAATTTGAAACAATGAGAGGAAATACGGTGATGTAGTCTCCCTCTTGTGATCAACTATAGAACTGATAGTGCTATTTTGAAGAGAAAATTTAAAAATAAATATCCTGAAGATTTTACTTGCCAGAACATACGTTTATTTTTGTCCAGCTCTAACAAAATGCAGAGTCAAGAGACTCTGTTATTTAACTGGATGGTTCTACAGAAGCTCTCAATTGTAATCCTAAATGATAATGCAGATGAATTTTGTAGCATCTCTTACACCTTTACAGAGAAAGCCTTAATAAAATGGGATTAGTTATTCTCATACATTTCATCCACAAGGTAATGATTTTATTAATCCCTGATTTAAAAAAGTTGAAATGGAACATTTCTATTTTTCAAACAGCCATTTGTTCTCTGCAGTATGTTAAAAAGAATGATTAAGTCATAATTGTATTCAGATTTATACAGAATGCAGAGATTAGAGCAGCAAGAAATGGATATATCACAAAACCCCCAAGGGTAATTCTGAGCTTGTCTTATCCTGACCACTGATATAGGCTTTTGGTCTTCAGTGTTAAATTGCACTTATGTCTGTTCTCCATCTGCCATTACTTCACTGTTGAGAGTTTCCCAAAGTTCTCCAAGAGGGCTACAGCTTTCAAAAATTCCTACCCAGCTGTTGTTGCTTGCTCATTTCATGGAAACCAGGCTGATGTTGGCTGACTGAGGTCCTGGCCATTAAACTTAATACTCTTCACATCCTCCCCATTCGCCTCTCTAATTCATACTCAGAGCCAGAGAAAAAGTCATAACTCTACATTTGGTAGAATTTCCATCATCAGAGTTTGGAAAACCTGTAGCAGTGCTATAGTCATTGTATTCAGAGCCACTGTGTTAAATCTCCAGCCCTAAGAGCATAGTGTGTGACCTGCTCCACTTTGCATACAGTATGATTTTGTAGATTCTGCTTGTTACTGTGTGTGCTACTCACTGAGCCAAAGCCAAATGGTGTGAGTTGACTGAACCTGTGTTACGGATTGCTGTGTAATTACCTCTTTGATATTTGTTTGTTTCTAATGGAAAAGCCCTGCTCTGGGGGAAGTTGGGGGGGAGGGTGGGGAAGAGGGGAAGGTAAAAAAAGTAAAAATAACGCTTATGTATTGCAGATCCTTCTCCAAGATAGGATGTATTCCCCCAGAAATTTGGGATTTTTTTGGGAGGGGGGCAGAGAGAATACAGTTCTCCAGCCTTTCTGTGATTACAGAAAGACAGAGCTTCTGTTCACCTTGGTAGCAATTCTTCAGTAGTAGCTTTTCTGGACCGTCTTCTCTGTGTTGACTGTTGCTGTCTGGCAGCGCTTAGTATCTTAATTCTATTTTTAAATCCATTGTCTTCATTATGAAAAACTGCAGGTTTTCCTCCTTTCTCAAAAAGAAACTGGTCTCAAGTGAGCTTGCAAAAATCACTGTAAAATTAAGATATGCATTAACTAAAAGTCAGAATTACACAGAAGACCTTACAGATCTTTAAAGAGGATTAATGGGATTAGCATTTGGCTGTAGGTAAAGATGTTCAGTACTGGAGATAAAGACATGATTAATGGCTAATAATAGAAAATGATACATGAAGGACCCCTCCCCCCCAATATTTCTCTTGAATGTGCTCCCTCCTCTGAGTTTCTCAGAAAAGATTAATGTATTTTTATATTCTAGTTGGTACCAGACATAATAAGATATGATATACAATGCACATTTCAGATGAAATGTTACTGCAGTGTTCAGCCCCAAAGTTTAATAGAGAATGCAAGACTATGTGCAGTGATTCTGGAAGGAAGTGTGGCAGAGAAGATCCCATTTTAATGCAAACTTTATTTCAGTATTTAGCTGATGAAATATGAAGGTGGTTGAGAGAATTTGAAAGCCTGCTGTCAAGGTTGGCTGACATTATTTGTTGCGTGACCTTTCTGAGCACCAACTTGTTCTGACTGTTAGGCTGAGCGTAAAAGTGCAGCATCATTAACAACACTGATCTACTATAATGTATTGTTTCTTTAGAGTCTCATTTTCAGAAAATGTTCAGTACAATGGAAATGTGTCAGTTTTAATTCCATAGTGCAGTTTGATGCTTTTTGACAGCACAGTAAACACACTCCTCTGTAGGAGGGATGAAGGTGGCTCCAGCAGCAGTATGTTGGATATGTACTTGAAAAGCATACTCGCTCTCTACAATACAAGGCCCCAATTTTGTGAGCTCCTGAGTTTCATTAATTCACCTTTAAACAAAAGGAACTTGAAAGAGCTTGGCACTTCACAAGGGGAAATACAAATTTCACAGCCTGCTCTCCTCTGGCACATCTAGTTAGCTTTTTCTATTCATGTGGTTGTCAGTTGCCAATCAGCCTCCAGTGACTGAATTAGAGAACAGAAAACATCCTGAATTGGCAAGGGATGGGTAAGAAGTCTTTCATCTCTAATTTCTATGAAACAATGTAATGGAGTATTACAGCTACTGAATGTTATGGCTGTTTGGCTTATGGATACACTTGCTTCTGTCTGTTGACAAACTTTTTTGTGAACTTCATTTGTTTCTGATGAAATAATTTTAGTTTCCCATAGTACTGTGAGTGCAAATAGAAGTGGGAATGCAGTGAACTGTAACATGGCATGTAATAAATGTGTTATTTTGGTCCTATGTGTTTTTTTTCTAATCTGCATGTAAATAGTTGATTCCAAGCAAGCTAAGTGATACTCAAAAAATGGCAAAAGACAGAGACTATAATTACTTGGACTTAGATGTTGCAATCATTTTTCAAACCTATCTGGGTAAAAGTTCTTTACTGATAGCTGGGACCACAGTATTTGGAGTCATATTATTCTGGCCATTACTGTTTAAGCCCACGCTTAAACCTTTTCCTAATCAGTATTGTAGTTAGACCAGAATTCAGAAAAGCGTGAGCTTATGTACTGTCATAAAGAGCGATGCTATCCTGAACTGATGCCATTAACACATGCTTAATTTGCACTAATTTCAATAATGAGTGTTCAGTAGCTCAGATGATTGAACATTAAGGATGTGAGCCAGAGCCTCTAAAGTAAGTTTTCTCACTGAAAATGAAATTGCCATAATGGCAAAGAGGTGAAAATCTGAGGAAACTGTTTTATACTGGACCTATCTTAGGCATCTCCTGAAATGTATTTTTCAAAAAAAGAGACTTTTCCTTGGTATTGCTGTATTAGTGTTCACCACTTGTCTATTTTAGTAGTGAGTACAGCTCAGTGTGTTATTTTTTGGTAAGGTTTTGTCTATGATTGTACCTCACTGATCTTCAGTGCATGTCTTCTGTGTCTGAATGAATCTGTTTTATGTAGTGGCAGTGCAACCAAAGCATGAGCTTTTATATTCACATGTTGATGTGCTTCAAAGGCTTTAACCTTATCCAATTTTCTGACATTCAGAGACATAGGTTTGTGCAAGATTTTGAAGGAGAATCACCTCTAATATGGTTTTTATAATTTTCTGTTGCTTAGTTGCTATGGTAGTGAAAGATTTGCTTAAAATTGATGTATGAACCATGCTTTGTAATTCGTGAACACCTTTGACCTTTCAATTGAAAGCCTAACAGGAGGAGTCTGGATTTCAATCCCTATCTGCCTAGAGTAAGATATGTTTTATTTAGTTGCATCAGTCATCATTTGAGTTTGTTTCCAAATACCTGAGAATTAGTGTAAATACATCTATTTTATTTTTTTAAATAGTTGATAGTAAAATTATTTTTTAAATTTTTTGTAGTTTCTCTCAGTTATACATTAAATGTGATCTTTTATATTTGTAAAATAATAATGTTTTTTGTGGTCTTTATAATAGATATAGAAAATAGAAGCTAACATAGAATTCCTCATCTAAAGAATACAAGGCCAGGAACTAGAAAGGATTGCTGTGCTTCAGTTTCTGAAAAAGCTCGGTGAATGTCCACAGGCCATAAATAATGTTCTGTGAGGAGGCTAACTCATGGGGAGAGGATGAATGTTCTCTGAGATGTAGAAAAGGTCTTTGCATTGGTTCATGCCATGGGCTTGCTACCCAAGTGGTTGAGGTAAATGAAAGGAGTAGATCTGTCCTTCCTTTTTCAATCCTCTCTTGCTTCTGCTTCACTAGTGCCAGCAATAGCAGTTGCAAAGCCATGTTGCCAGATGAATCAGAACCTGAAAATTTATCTTTATTTTACTCTTTTGTAAATTAATGTTTCAACCACATGGGTGGGACTTAATGTCTGACTGAACATGCAAGATTATGACTACAGGAGCTTGTAGCTGGAGGCAGAGGGATGGCTTCTTATGATGGGCATATTTCATTCCCTTGAGAATCTGCACTGAAAATTGGTTTGGAGGAAGGGGAAAGATGAGGGAGAAAAGTTTGCAAGGGGAAGTGATTCCAGAATCCAGTGTCATGGATCTGAGTGGCTAATATTTAGTTAATAGGTTTCTCACTAGTTCTATGATAATGCTTTTGATTTCCTTGCAACATAATTATTTTTTTTTTTTCAATTAAAAAAAATACCATGCATTTACTATACATCGATTACAGACTGAATGGGCAACAGACAGTTATCTTGAATGATCATTCTGGTGAAATGTCAGACAGAAAATCAGAAATCAGGTTAAATCAGGAAAAGGTTACCTTTTTTCTCCTTTTATTATTGATGGTACAACTATTTTTAAAGTTATTGAGTATTATTTAGTACAACAGACACTGGGAAAGAGCTAGTACTTGGATGTCTACATCGCTGTTAGTCTCCTTGAGGGCTAAAACATTGGGAATGGAAACCTGACCCAGACTGCATTCAATCATTGAGTCCCTCTCTCCTTCAGGGAATCAGAAACGTGGATTTTGATCACATTGGGCATGAACTAGGATAGCAAGTGCTCTCCAGGGAGGTTGATAACAGTTTCTAGTTAAAAGGAGGGGGGATTTCTGCCTGCTAGACCATAATTTCAAACAGAGTACATGCTTCCCTTCGGAAGATGGATGTGTGCTGTGATTTCCAGAATGATGGGAAAGCATCCCTGCACGTGGTGTATATCTTTGCACAGGAACAGTTTCATTGAGTTCACTGTCCTGTTAGGAGGCACTTGTGTATTCCTTGTGTGGCATGTGGGGAGAGTTTTAATTGCACTCCTGGGCAAGGTGTCTAAATCAAGTCACATGGCTCAGTATTGTGGGTTCTGAGTTGTCTTTTGGATCGGTTATGACGCTAGTGAAAAGGCAGTGAATACTAAACTTTTGGTGTTATTTATTAGTAAATCTCACTGAAAGCCAGAGCATTACAAATGCTTTAGAGTAAACCTCAGAGAGCCCATGGAGATAGTTTAGCTAAAACTGTAAAGGATCTAGTCCTTCCTCCCATAGGTGGGTTGTGTTGCCTGCTAGCAATATATTGTTTCTAAAAAGAAACCTAAAAAAGCCTCATGGCCCTTTAAGGAAAAAAAAAAAATCTGTAAAATTCCTGGTCAATCTCATTCCCCTTCACAGTGACAAATCTTGCTTTGCCTGCAAATTTTGCTTATGGTAGATCAACATGAGCTGCGTGAGGAGAACCACAGGGGAGGTAAGACAAAAGACCTGTAAACTGTTCTACCTTGTTCTTCCTCTTCCTTGTTCTTCCTTTTCTTAGTCAAGAAAAGAATTTCAGATGTTTCAGTAGATGTATGGTGTATGTAAATGAATTTTTGCCACTGACAACAGTGTCTGAGTCCCAATAGCTGACAAGATCAAGAGAGACAGTCTGCTTGCAGTAATAAGGCATCTCTTCTGTAATTCCTTGTGGTAGCGGCTTTTCCATACATCTCTGCGTGCCTACCTGAGACTCAGATGTTTTTCAGGTTGGAAGCAATTCTTTTGTATGTTTCCAGCTTCACAGAATGATCTTTATCGTTGTGGTTTGAACCTAGCTGAATTCAAGAGGAAAGGTTTCCCCTTGAAGCCTGGGTATTGCAAGAATGAGATGTCTTGCCACCAAACATTGGAAGATTGGTTTTCAGCTGATCCAGCTGAGGAGGGAGACTGGCTCCGTAGGGCAGCATTAA